TTTAGTTTTCCATGCTCTGGTGATGACGGGGAAATACCATATTAACTCTTATGGTTAACTGGTTGCGAACATATACTTGTTTTTCTTGTTAATGTACCTGTTTGAGGATGATTCGAGCCACCAGTCGGACAGTCTCTGATGGACACCAGTTCTCCCCATCGGCACACATAGCTACACACTCCAGCTTATGCATGGTCCAATCGCTTCTCTGCACAAATAACACACACATGGAGAACAGTTAGTAACCCTCCTTTATTACAGACATTCATCTCATTCAACAGGACAATACTTGAGAGACAAAAGCAATAATGCGAGACAAGAAGACAGAGCAACTTAAATTAACACAATGGATGATAAATTATTTGTATTATCATCTATAAATTATTGGCCGTTGCATTTGTACAAGACAATAGAAAACTCCTTACTTTTACTGCAGTGTGCCGAGTGTGTTTTATGACATGAAACTAAAACTAGACAGAGGGCGGATAGACTGAATCGTCATAGCAACAGCAGTTTAAATGTGTGCCTGCATGGAGCTGTGGGGTCCAACGTTCAAATGTTGGTTACAAGAACAAAGAATTAAGAAGATTTTTAAGACATATTTTTTAACTAAACATTACTTATATTATTTCAGTTTTTTTAGTTAACAATCACACGAAAAATCTGCACATTGTGTTTTTCAGCAATTTTAAATTGTGCAACATTTTGATGTAACAGAGATTGTTGTCAGTCAAAATGTCTGACAACATTTTTTGGATGTATGTAACCGATAACCTGTTTGTGTTCAGTTCCTTCAGTTGACCATATCAATTGGTACACATATTTGCAAATAGAAACTACAAGCCTGCCATGAAAATTCAAAAAGGGAAGCAGAAAGCACTCTTACCTGACACTCTACATTGCAGTAGTGGGCCTGCTTACATTTGCCACACTTAAAAAGGTCTTCTCTCCTGCAACGACATGAAGACACAACACGTTACTCCACTACAGATGTGATGAATGTGTCGGTGTAACAGTATTTCAGCAGGATATAAACGTATTCATCTGCATGAAATAACACACTCCTTCAGCTGGGGAGAAGTCTTTACCTGATGCTTACAGTTGCTAGCCGTGGGATTAAATACAAATGTTTTAGAAACTATTCCAGTCAAGTCAGTTGTTTAACACAAGTGATTAAGGATTATCTCAGCAGGAGACACAGTGTTTCTGAGTGATTATGAACAGATGTACACGCATGTCCACCACTTCCATTGCACTCTTACCCCTGGCCTTCTCCTCCTGTCTTCGGACACATGGACAACAACTATATTTAGCACCCTAACCTTTTACTGCTCTACAAAACTTAACGGCAGCTTGAGTAGGAAGCATGTGTAAATGAAAGTGGCAGACAGAGAGGGAGAGTTCATTTAACTCTGAAAAGTCTCAAAAAGAGCTTCAATGTGCATCAGACCTCAACAGAAAAAGTAGGCAAGAGGTGCACTGCATCACAGCTGAACTTTTCTTCATGTTTTTGACACACACACACACACACACACACACACACACACACACACACACACACACACACACACACACACACACACACACACACACACACACACACACACACACACACACACACACACACACACACACACACACACACACACACACACACACACACACACACACACACACACACACACACACACACACACACACACACACACACACCACACACACACACACACACACACACACACACACACACACACACACACACACACACACACACACACACACACACACACACACACACACACACACACACACACACACACACTTTCTGAAGCTTATATGCCGCTGTTTCAACCAGTCCACATCCTACACCTTCCTGAATTCATGTACAACTGATACATGAGTTAAACTTTATACTTAAAAATAACATATATAGAACATTATATAATAGACTGCAGGGTTGTCTTTCTTGCGTTGACTTTTAGGTTCATAAAAGCATGTGTAGGATTCGTAGAGATAAACAGAGAGTACTTGAAGTGTGGTGGGGTAGGCAGAAATGTGACACTACGAAGAAACGTTAGAACATGACTGAAGTGGCTCTTTGAGTGAGCTAACTACCCGTTATCAGTGGTATTTTATAACTAAATACATTTATCAAAATATTGTGAAACTTTGCGGTACTTGACTTGAGTGTGTCCATTTTATTTTACTTTATACTTCTACTTCACATTAATTCACAAGGATATATTGTATATTTTTCTCATAATCTTAAAACATAATATAACTCAACCATAAATTATTGATATGTTCAGATACCTATCAGTGTAAAAAGGGAATATTATGAGTCCCACCTTCACTGACTACACTACTAAAGTGATAAACACATTATTGGATAATAACAAATGTAAAAATTGTAATCCAGCAATGCAATATTTATGATTAAGAAATGTTTCATCCTGCATGATTTTACTTTAGGTACTTAATATACATTTTGAATGCAGTACTTTCAATGGTAACAGAACATTCATATACTGTTACTTAAGTGACATATGTCAATATTTCTTCCTGCACTACCTGTGATTATGAGTAGCCTATTTAAGAATGTGTGCTAGCATATAAATAGACTCATTGTGACAACAGGGAAGCAGGTTTCTTTATAACCACTGTAGTACTACTAATGTTTGCATCTATTTTAGGCTCTCCTGACTGCAGTGCATTGAAGACATTCTGCAGAGTCAGTCAGGTGAGCTACTGCCTGCACTGACCCACTTTAGTCTGCAGAGGTTCACAAGCTAACCTAGCTATGCATGGAGGTTAGCCTGCGTCCATATGGACCCTTCAGTCCCTTTCTTTGCTTTAATAAAAGAACACAATAAAACACAACACCCTAGAGCTAGCCGTCCCAGAGGTGTTTTCCCAGCTGTGTTATGGAGGTAAGGTGTTACCTGGAGAAGCAGTTCTCACAGTGTGCTTCCCTCTCATTCACCGTCAACACGTAAGAGTAAGCCGGGCAGGCGAACACCAGCTCCCCAGCAGAGAAGTGCCTCACCGCCCGCAGGCCCCTGCCGCTGCCCGGGCTCAGGAACCGCTCCGTCCCCTCTATACCTTCGTTCATGTTGTTTTTTCTGTTTATTGTTCTCCTGTCAGATGCCACCGACCACCACCTGTGTCTGCTGGCTGTTCCTCTAATCAGCTTCTGCCCTGAGCCCTGGCTTCTTCTCCGGTCCTCTGGGTGTCCGGGCGGCTCTCAGCGCCCCCTGCCGGAGAGGAGACCTCACAGACTGCTACTGGTGTGCACTACTGTAGTCCACGGTTAGGTGTAGTGAACAATGCATTAGGCCTACTGATGCTCTGTCAGTGATAACATAGATAGTTATTTTATCAGTAAACGTTTTATGTATATTGATGCTGGCTCATAGTATTTTGTTTGCTTACTGACATGTTTAATAATCTTTAATCCAGTTTTCACTGGAAAGGAAAATAATGAATAATTGTGATCTGAAAAGTAACTTTAGCTGTCACACAAATTTTGTGGAATAAAATGATAAGCAAAATGGAAATGTTCCATTTCAGTACAGGTTCTTCAACATTTGTTACTACAGTACTTGAGTAGATTGTAGTACATTCAACCCCCTGTGCACTGTAAGCAAATTAATTATCATTAATTACTTGCATTGTCTGCTCTCATTTGTTTTGTCTCTGTCATATTGTGTCCCTTTTGGTTCGATCTATATTCATTTTCTAATGTTATAAGATTCTATGTTTTAATGTTTTAACTGGTGATCGTCCGCATCACATTGTTTTGTAAAGATTTCTTGCATTTTTCATGTGCTACTTTGCACTGTTCTTGCCTGCTTTTAATACAAAATCTTGTTAAACTGCTTTATGTTTTTCACCGACCCTCTCCTGTAAACAGAGTACAGGACCAAGAGTATAGAATACAGGACTACAACTTGAATTACATTTCAAACATGAAATAAACAAGCATTTGTCCATGTGATGCACATCTCATACATTTGTCACTTCATTGTGTTTTTGAAGTATTTGCCCCAGTAACACTTCTGCCAGAGAAAACATCACCAATCTGCATTTTTCAGAAATTTGAGGCTTAGCAGACTTTTACATTATTCATCACATTTTAACTGTTTATCATGCAGTTATGACCACAATATGTAATTTATTCATTCAAAGGTCTACCATAATTTCTATTTCAAAGTTGACAAATGCTGCCATTCACTCAATTTAAGATCCAAATTAGAGAAACATTTGACTGATGTATAGAAACATCTTCTTTCATTTTTGGTATTTGTTTCATAATGCATGTAAAACACTTTGTCCATCTTTGGATGATGGAGGTTTTTGCAGATAGTGGTCCAGTTACACAGCTGCATTACTGAAACAGAAACTTCAATATTCTCTGGGTATGAATCGTGTTGGTGCATGATTGCAAAAATGTCACTATCAACCACTGAAGCGGACCAAAACACTCGACACAGTTTTATATATAAATGCATTTATTTAAGTTAATCATTTCTCCTCATTCAAAGTTGAATTTCTGCAGAATCTATAAAACAGGGGACAGTTAGAAGCGCTGTACAGTCTGACAACAAAACTAGGAACCGCGGCTGAGTACACTGTGTATATGTACATACTGTACACACACTGATGTAGGTATATACAAAAATATACACTTTTACATGTTTCTTGCCATAACACCCACCACTGTCCTTCAATGAGGCCACACTCCTCTTAGAAAACACATCATCACCCCTGTAGTTCATTGATTACTGTTGCACCTTATATCTTTCATGGTTGAAGGGAAGAGTATTTTGTCCAAAGCCCCTCTCATGTCTGGACTCACACACACTGTGACCGAAACTGGTAGCAAAAGATGGGAAGCTTAAGCAGTCCTGAGCTGGATGTCTCCGCAGGGCTTTCACTTATCAGAGTGGACTCTTCTGCAAATCCTAAAAGAGGATTTAAGGTGGGCTGAGAGGGGAAGACATGCCTTCAGTCAGGACGAATCATGAAATAACTCTGCTTCCCATTTGAGGTAAAAGGCTGAGAGAACACAGAGCTCACCTTCATACCTGTTAATATCAAGCCATTAATTGTTCACCAAACACAGTATGAATAAAGTCAGGTGGGGAAATGCTCTTGCTCACTGACTGGTGATCAGTTATACACCTCCTTTTAAAGAAATACTAAAACCACAAAATTATAATTTTCTATTAATAATTCAGCCCATATTAACACAGCTCCCATTTATTATAATTAATCAAGAAATGTCTCTGTATTTTGATTCTGCTTTCACCATTGAGGCATTTGAGAAAAACGGTGGCGATTAATTTATGTACGTATCAATTTTGTGGGTGAAGTATCTTCTAATAATACATGTCTACAATATTGACAACATTCGTTCTCCTTTAGAATGTAGCTTTAAGCTAACACACAGAGTTAGTTCTGCCACAACAGACTTTTTGAAGACACATCTAAAAGACATGAAAAATGTGCAACCTGTGCCCATTATAAGACCAACACCATCATCATCTGAGACGTACCCGCCCCAGTGTGTCCTGCAGGTCTAACTGGGACTAGGAAGAAGAATGAGATACACAACATATACCATCTGCAATTTGCATTCAGTTCTTTGCGACTCAATCAGCATTTCCAATGACTTTTACCCCTTCTCATTCTTCCTCATACAGAGAAAATAGGAAGGAAAACTTTTGGCACATAGTGCTAAAGATGTAAACATTGAATAATCCAATCAAAATCAGCCGTTGCACTACTTTCACTTTCTCTGCGTAGAACAAACAAATAAAATAGCATTCTTTCATCTTCACAAGAATAAGACTGGTTTTATAAAGAAAAGGCTTCAATCAACATATCTGAACAGTTGTAACAGACAGCATTACCAACCTCTCATGGGGTTAGCAGTTAGATTCTCACGCCTGTTAAGTTTGTACTAGCTGGCCATTTTATTAGGGCTTCATTAAGACTTTAATAATAGAACAAAGCTGAAGAAAATTTGATTAAGAAAAATCTTGGAATGTCCCCGTTGGTGCATTGTGCATCAGAAGCTTAATACCTTTAGTCCCTTTTTGTATAGCTGTTATCCACAATAGAGGGCGCTATACACCATTAAAAACCTCAGCATGTTATCCTCACAACATAGGACAAGGGCCAGATGCTTTGACAATAGCTCTTTTGTACTAGTTTCTGAGGATTTTCACACAATTTGTAGTCAAAAGATACTAAATGTGGGGGCTACAGCATATGTATCTACCCCATTACAGAAGTAAAACCTGAGGCACTGTTGTAATACACATAAAGGAGATGTTAAGGAACAACTGATTATAAGATATATATTTGTAACTTTAATTTATATTAGTTCTTCAATATTACAATTATTGATTTGCAACAATCTTCTACTTAATCTGAATGTAAGACATAACAGGAGCGGTAAATCCACCTGCTGCTCAACACAAAAATAAACGGAAACCTTAAATCAGACTTGGGGCCATTGAGCCTGGTCACCATAGCAACAGAAAACGTTCCTCACATCTAGTCACACCTCAATCTCGCAGCACAATGCAGCGACACGTCAAGTCTAAGGATATGATTTTGAATCCAGCTGCAGTCTGATCTGACCTTCACTTCGCCCCTCACTCTGTCTACAGTCGTGTGAATGTTGAAGACAAGGTAAACATCAGGTACAAGGAACAAAATGGTAGAACACAAACAAACGGATGGAAAAGAACCAGACAACACAGTAAACATGAGCAGCTGTCTTTGTCTGTTACCGTAACACAGTAAAACAAAAATCAAGAGAACAGATGTGAAAATGAGAGAGGGATACAGAGAGGATATTTGACATTAAAACAACACTTGAGGATGCAACCTCTTTCTAGAATAAACTAGGAAATAGTTGATTATTATAGGCAATTTGTGTTGTACAGTATGCTTAAAGATGTTTTGTGTTCATGTTGCCTTGAAGCTGCCAAGTGATGAGTCGCTCTGAATTTAATCAAATTGTACCTTCATGACTCGTCAGTGACTAACAGTACAGAGAATCATAGCAGCTAAGAGGACCCTGTGTTGAAGGCGAGGAGAGACTATTGTTGCAAAGATGCGAAACAGGCATCAGGTAATGGATTAGCACACAGATGCATGAACTGTAACTGGCATCAGTAACACTATCAGGTAACACAAGATGAAGATGTGGCACAATGCGGTTCGGGGACACCGAAATCTTGTTCCTCAGAATAAAGGAGCTCGCCAAAATAAAGAAAAGGTGTTCTCATCAGTACTTTGTATCAGCAAAAACTGAGCAGTCCTGCTTGTGCAATCAGAACAATCTGCTCACCTGCAGCAGAACAGAGTGGGGGACAAACAGTAAAACCTTGTTTATTGCAGATCCAAACCTCAGAACAGATGGCTCATCTAACAGGCACAATGAAAGAAAGAAAGACATGTTGATGGAGACACTACCGACCGACTGTACGTGTGGGAGCTGGCTGGTGATACATGCAGCTAAGAACGCATGCACATTTCGTACAGTTTGACTAGTCAGGAAACCTCTTTCTTTTTGCATAAAAACTGTTCTGGAGGCTGGAATAAGCAACGTTTTACTTTGTCAATAAGAAAGATGGACATTGGATGTCTGCCACACATTAGTGTTTCCTTCTATAGCCGGACACGAGCAGGCAGGTGTGTGTTGAAATCAGGTCAAAAAGAACATCTCAGTTGGGAAGATATCTGCTTGTGGTAATATTATAGATTCATGTCGGTAATACCTTTGCAGCCAAAACCAGTTGGTAAAACTGCAACATGAAATCCAGGTGGGTGTGACAGTAAACATCCCTAAATGGCAATATTAGACACAAAGAAAATGATCTGTGCAGGAAAGGAGATGTATAAATTAAGCGGCTCCACAGGGAGCAGTTAGAGAGCAGCGAGAGCTTGTGAAGAAAAACCCTTTTAATCAAAGTTCTCGTATTCCTGAAACAAAAACATCCATTCGAAATTTGGTTCAATTTTTTGTGTGACAAAAGAAGACTGTTAAGAGAGTTGTTTTTTTAAAGAGACATAATGGTGTAGACATGAAGATGCTGCGGCAGCCAGTGCGACAGCCCGACGACAAACAGTCAATCCTGAGGGGTGGCTTCAAGACACTTCCTGGTTTCGGTTTTGAACTTCCGGCCAAACCAAACCAGTTTCAGGCCCCGACCAAAGCAGAGAAGCTTTTCCCTTAACCCCCTTCCCCTTTCCCCAAGACCCAATCTGCAGAACACACAGCTTCTTCTCTCCACTGTGGCTCTCTTTCCTCCAATGATCCTGTGAACTAATGACAAGAGGAAAAGCTCAAGGAGTTGAGTCCATTTCCGGCCTTCATATCACTCTACGCCCAGACCTCAACATGAAGCCTCCACCTGCCTTTACAGGCTCCAGCTCGGCGTGGTGAAACAGAGAGAAAGCCCAAAGGAACAACAACATTAATGTCCCCTTCCTTTAAGATAACGAAAAAAAGAGTTCCTGTGAAACCTCCGCACAGGAGAGTTACCGGCAATCAATAAAAAATATTAATAATAAAATAATTACAAAGTAAAAACAGTTCTACCTCACCTGCATTAAAGAACGTAAAACAACAACATTTGCTTCTGGAACCATCAATGGAAAAACACTGAGGTATGTAGTTTGAATGGAAAGTCGCTCCATCGCTTTTATCCTCATAATGAACATCATTTTCACCTTTCATCCAACAAATACAGTCAGTTTCCTGTTTACTCCAGCAACGTCTACAAGCCCCTCCCCCGGTGGGTTTGGCTCTTTTGGGAGGGGTGAGGGTGGGGGAGAGGTGTATAGACTGGCTGCACCTCTGAGGAGCGAGAGGGATCCGTTTATCCATCCAGAGTCTTTTTCCATCTCTTAATCCGTGTCTCAGAGTCTGTTGGTGTCTCTATCAAACATCCAGCTCTTCCCAGGGTCCGCAGCCCCCCCCCTATGATTGTAGATTGAGGGTGAACTTCCACTGCTGGTTGAGGCTCGGGCTGCAGACCTCCACCGTGAGGCCCCCCATCCTGGCATTGCGGCTGTCCAGGCAGAGGTTGCTACCCACGTGACGAAGCTTCGAGTTGGACTCAATCTGCTCCCATTTCTGCTGAGACACAACAATGTTTCTATTATTTATTATTAATTAATCCTCATTTAACTAGAATGAAATCTATTGAGATTCAGAATTCTTGCCAAGACTGCAGCATATACAGTTTGACATAAATAAAAAAACAACATGATGTGCATTCAGAGGTCAAAACATTCTTCACGTTGTTTTTGTAACCTTACATGCTTATGAATAAATCGACCTTAAAAGCATTTTCATCAAAGATATAGAAGATGAAACAGTCAAAAGGTTATTCATTTCTAAAGAGTAAACACTTTTTTCCAATGTGTTCCCTGGCATTATAGAAATCTCTACAGACAATCACACAAAACATTGCATATCATCCTTAAAACCGTAAGCAGCAAGGTGAGAGCTACTGATAGTTATAGATGTCAGTAGAGAGAGTAGGCAGTTTGTGTTATAATATATGATGTATGTAAAAGTGCAATAATATGTAATCGATGTTCTTATATTACCGTGTTTACCTGTCGGCTGTCGTTCTCTCGACAGCCCTGTAGTTTGATGAGCGAGCCGGTGGTGCGCTCCACCACGGTCAGACACAGGTCCATGTGCTTCACAGACTTATCCTTGGTCAGGGCCCACTCCTTTGGATTGTACAAATTAATTTAATTAAAACTATAGTTTGATACACATTCGAACACTGGAGTTAGGGATGTTCTGAGCAATTCATTTTAAATGGAGCATTGGCTAATATCATGTTGATATCTGATGTTTTATCTTGTAACTTAATACACAGTACACGTTGAAGTACTGCACATCAAGGGTAATCAAAACAATCAGTAAGAACGCTCAGTAAGAAACCTTTTCCAAAAAAGAAATACGTTTCTTTCATTTTTCTCTAAGTATTTAAACTTTTTTTAGAATTCAAAAAGAAATAAAAAGGAAAGTTGTTGCTGTGTTATGGCTTGTGCTTTGCAGATCTAACAAACAACAACATGTCATAGTGATGGTGGAGTTAGACTTTATTTCAGTGTCTGCATTTCATCACAGGGAGATTTATGCCAAAAGAACCATATTGTCGTTTACATATCTAAAAAAAAGTGGCAGTTCATTTTGAGAACATTTGAGACTGTACAATTTAATTTGATGTCAAGTGGCAATGTTTGCAAAATTATGTTAGTAAACCAGACCTGAGAAGCCAATGGGTATGAAAACTGTTTACCCAGTAAGACCACCACACCTGTTAAAATTGGCTTCCGGATGCATGTTGGCTTTACATCGTCATGGGACACTGTATGCATCAGACAAGTGTGCAAAGTAGTGACAGTTTTCTTAATTGACTAAATGCAATGAGGTAGAGTGTGAGTTAAAAAAGTGCATCTTGTGCAGGGTTAATGAAAGACCAAAATGTAATCTGGTAAAATCCCATACCATACCCCCTCTTCTCTCACCACCAGTGTCACCAGCTGCCACCGTGGGGCTTTAAAACAAAGGAACTGACATGCTGACCTGTGTATGTCGTCGTAGTAACGCTACCTGGTTTCCTCCGGCGTTGTGGCATTCGTAGACGCCCACCACACCGTCAGCAAAGTGGCCCAGAGTGTCCAGACAGTTTCCTCCCTGCTGCAGCGCTCCGAACGCGATGTCCTGGTGGTCCGGGACACTGAACACACACAGACACCGTGTTGTTAAATATTTCCCCTCATCATGTTTGTATCAAATCTAAGACATTAAGTAGGGTGTGAATCGTTCGGTTTCTCACGATTTAATTCGATTCTTGGGGTCACGATTGGATTCAAAACGATTCTGCACTCTGTACATAGGGTTGCTAATTTCATCTACTCCAGTCCGCTGTGCTCTAATAAAGGGCGGTGGGCAAATGATAACATGGAGGCAGAGTAAAGTGTGTAAAGGATTATGTTTTTAATCAAATCAAATCAAGTTTTATTTATATAGCACATTTATAAACGATTTTTGGTCGAGCCAAAGTGCTGTACAAATAATAAAAATACCCTACAGTAAAGACATTTTACAGCTAATACAACAGCACAGTTTGTTCAGAATATCAGTATGAGAAAAAACGACACCCTCTGTCCTTTAGACCCTCACATCGTACAAGGAAAAACTTCCGGAATTTAATACTTAAAAATATATTTAAACTGAGTGCAGTATAAACAACACAGCAAACCTTCTTACTGCAAAGTACTTCTTACTAAAACGTTTTTACTGACTTCAAGAAAAAAAGGTTTATGCAAAAAATTATATAAATGATGCCTGTTAAATTAAAACAACTCATTGGCTTAGGCTAGCTGCCCTTTTGGGACCAATTTAAAAAAATGAATTGTATACAAAACAACAGTTTTAGTCACACTGGCATGATAAGTTTCCTTAAAATTGTTATTTTGTGTGTTTTTTTAACCAATCACACAGTTCTATTTGAGAAAACTTCGCTTTGGTGAAATCCTAGAAGATAGGAATCTCTATTCTTTCATGATTCTATTTTTTTCACCCACCCCAAATATTAAGGATTTATTATATAAAAGTAAATAGTGTAAACTAACACTAAAGATAAGAAAAGCAGTTTGAGTTAAATAAGGTGAGCAATGTTATTCTAAAGTATAGGATAATATAACCTTGTTGCATCTGAAATTATTCAAATTTAGATCTGTGATATTTATACATAATTAATATCATTCCTGAGAGTGACAAATTGCAAACCTGACAACATTTAATAATGGGCCTGAGTCATAATTGCTAGTCTGAGTTAGTCATTAGTGTCATCACAGACCCTAGAGAGCTTTATTAAAGTATGAAACCTTAGCTGGCAGCACAGAGGAAATCACAGTCATACCAATACTGCTGGCAGAGCTGCGGTTTCTTACCAACTGAGTTCTTGTCATACTGAAACTGCCACTCAGAAGTTTTGTTAAATGTCATTCAATTCTTATTACATAATATTATATCTATACCCCTATCATATTTAATCGAAAAAAGCTCCAATTCTCTTACCGTAGTTCCGGGTAGACATTCTCCAGGTACCATTTAAATGGTTTGCATCCTAATCTCTTCTTCATCTCCATACGACTCTGGATACTGAGAGAGAGAGAGAGAGAGAGAGAGAGTAAAAAAGAGAGGAGAAAAAGACGGTGAGAGAATTAGAAGTTTGATCTAACTGTCTCTCAAAACATTTATTAAATCTAAGACATTCTGTGAAGGCAGATAACAGAGGCATCCGGCACAGAAAATAACTGCTTACAGCTGCTCTGTATGGATGTGAGAGTACTTATTGTTGTGGTGCACAGAACAAAAGTCAGCTAGTTTACAGATAAAGTGAAATAAAGTAGCAGAAAATACCATAAAATTGATGAATTCAAAAATACAGTTGCATGACATGTATAAAACCTCTATAACAAGCCTGTTTGATATATAAATAAATCCCTATTTCATGGGTCCTTGCTCCTTTTTTACAAATGCATTGTGTGACCATCGTTACAGTAATCCCTTCTGCATGTCAAATAATACAGCAGTCTTTTGACTTTTTGCCCTCTTTAACCCACATTAACTTTCTGTCATATATTTTACAGCTGACATACTGCTGATTGGCAATCCAATTAATCTGCCCATCACATGGCTGCCTTTGTAATTTCATCATCTTGTTACATTACGCCCTCTGCCTCCTGTAGGGCTCGCTCTTCATGGTACTTACTTTCCATAGGGGACGTTTCTCGCTGAGGGGACGGCAGCGTAGTAGAAGTTTTTATACTCATCCATCCACACCTCTGCTGCTCTCCTCGTGTTCCTGAGAGAAACGAGAGGCAAGAAAATGAGGGACGGATGACGGACAAGGAGAAAATGGGGAGAGGTGTGATGGGTGATAAAAGGAGAGATGAAACAGAGAGCAGGGGAGGAAAATTAAGGTTGGAAAACGAAAGAGAAAAATAACATAAGACAGAGGATTGAAGAAAGAGGGCAGATAGATTTAGTGAGTGTGTGTGGTCAAGCAGCAAAGTGTTGACAAGATATCAAACGACAATTGGTCAGATTTCCATTTTTTGTTCATAATAAAAACCCAGTTCTGTCGGACCATGTGTCAGCAGGAGTCAGAGTAAAACTCAACTTGATCATATTCTTTCTAAAACTGTGGTTTAAAAATTCCCTGGGTTTCCCCTCAGATAAAACTGAGACAGCTCTGGATTTCTTTGATAGTGAGAGTCATTGATACTGAAGAAAAACATGATTCACAGAGAAGTTGTGGAGCATCGGTTTTCTAAGCAGATTTATGGTTTAATTTTTTGCCCTAAAAATACTGAATATAAGAATATGTCATAATATAAATCATGCATGTGCTCATATTTGAAAAGAGAGATAGTTAAATAAACCAGACTGCAAGAATAAAGTTACATTGAGGCAAGTAAACACTCGTATACAAATATGCAAATGTTTCCAATGAAGTAGGATTACCGAGTTGGCAAAACTGAGCCAAAACCAGAACAGCTCTTCAGTCCAGTGTGCCTCATTTAGAAAAGGATATTCACTCAGCACTGTGAACACACTGTTGGTTTAACTGAGCTGTTTAAAATGCATTAGAGCTGAAACAATTGTTTGCTTAATCTATTGATTGGCAGTATATTTAATAAAAAACTAATGGGTAAATGTCCCAGTTTTTTTATGCAAATAACATTTTTTCTTCCAGCTTCTTAATTGTGGGGTTTCATGCTTTTCTATCTTTAGACAGTAAACTGAACATCTCTTGTCGTACAAAACAAGCTATCCAAAGACGTCCCCTTTGGTTTAAGTAAATTGTCATTTAAGCCAAACGATAATTCAACAAAGTTATAGTCAGATTAATGCATGTGGAAGATAATTGTTAGTTACAGGCCTTAACTTCATAACAGTGCATCATGAGACAGGCCCCAACTGAGAGTCAAAATACATTTGATGAAGATGTGACAAGATTGAAAACAGGTCCTATAAAGACACATCCTGTTCCAGACACATACACACCTTGTACTTGTGAAACTTTAAAGTGGCATTGTGGTGACACCAGTTAAGGGAAAGCTTCCTTCATTGCTTTCGTCTGTAAGACTGGATTAATAACTGGCTACAGTGTATTCGACAGGAAATGTGTCTCATATCTCTCTTTGAAACAGAGAAGAAGAGTTTTCTCTTGCGTCTAAAAGCCACATTCTTCCTGTAGCAGTCAGGCTGTAGACCCACCACGGCCCCCTCGTAGACCACCACACAATACGGACTGTTGACATATTGTGCAATATACAGTAAACCCCTGTTTGTGATTGTACGGTTCTATTATCACTCTATGTAAAAACATCTTGTCATAAATTATCGCAATACTTTAATATGCTATTTATCTCAATTAGTTTAAGTTAAATTGCTCCTACAAATCTGTTTTAGCCATGGTTGTCTACTTATTTTGACTTATTTCTCTTTATTTTAATGCTAATGTCTGCCTTTCTTTAATTTTTTGTATTATTGCACGCTTTTTTTTACCTGCTATGCCACTTTTGCTGTAACACTGTACATTTCCCCGCTGTGGATCTGAAGATCAGGGAATTAGATTTCAGATGGTGGAGGTGAAATCACATATTGTTTTAGTATTTTTTTCGGTTACAATTTACAACAAGCATCTTAGCTTGCATTATGCAGAAATCTGTGTACTCATCCTGATCAACATGCAGCCCAGGAACATAGTTTGGACAGAGGACTCTTAGGGAACTCCATGCGGCGTCAAGACTGTCTTTCCTTTTCATGATTGTAAACTTAGATATTGTAGTTTAGATAGAAATGCTGCTCCCAGAACAATTATAAACCCATCTGAGCAGGCGCTGTCTCGAGGCTCCCCAGGGAGGGTGTCTCTGGCTTTATTCCAAATTGAAGGGCAAGACGCTGAACTGAAGCTGCCTTAGTACAGTGAAGCTGCTCTGCATTGTTGAGGTTGATACAAGAGAACACCACTGCACCCAGCAATAAATAACTTATCATTTTGAAAGTTTGGAAAAGGTTATGCAAATACTTTGAGAAATGTGGAGTTGAGGTCCACAGAAAGCCTGAGCTGAGATGGCAGAGACAGCTTGTTATAGTCAGCTCTGAAACTGTTGAGTTCCTTCAGATCCACTGCAGTCTTCACTTTCTGTTTCATCCAGCTCCACATCCATTCACAATTTATAAGGACTACCCCAGTTTTATACCATTATTACGAGGTCAGTGCTTTTCACTTGAGCACTGTTTGATTCACTTCTATCTAGAGCATTCGTTATGGTCATGCCATCAGAAAACATTTAGTCATTTTCATCTGTGGCTGGTATCACAAATATCACTTCATCAGCATCTTAGACTTACAAAGGGATCATTTTGCATGCTCAATTTTGGAGAAAAAGACAGGCAGACAGACATATCAGGAGTTAAACAGTGTAAGCCACCTAAAAAAACAATCAGTTTAGCTTTCTGCTATATTTAAAATATGTTCACCACTCTGACGTCAGACCATCTAATTGGGGAGCTAAAGACTTAACTCCATTGACGACAAACTGTGATTTCACACCACAGAACAGGGGAGATGTAAGTCTATTGCTGCCACAGTTGGTTAGTTACTTTGTGTTATTGTGTTTCTTTAGTTTTTTAAAGGGTAATTTCAGAATCACACAAAAAACGAACCCATCGAGGCAGCAGCAGTCAAGCAAATCCCTTGTTCTGCGAGGTGACATTAACTGTTTTGTGGAGAGTGATGTTTTGCTGCTGCCCTTGTCCATTGCAGGACAACCTTTTACCTGTGTCTGTTAATCCTGTCTGTTACTCCAAACTAGGGGCATGCCTGCTGCCATTTTCTGTATGAAATACACTAACTTTGGTACCTCAAACAACCCCATTTCAAAACCTCCGAACTATCCCTTTAAGACTAGCCCAAAAACACTCCGCATAGTTGATCTATTATGCCCTTCATTACTTGTGTTTTCCACAGTGATACGTACTTCATTGGGCACACCAGAGAAACCACAGCTACTATAAATTCCCTGTTATCTTTGTGTTAAAGTTCTTTATCAGTGGGTTTGTCGGGCTCGTTTCCAAGGGTTGTTACTTGTGGTTGGAGACTGTAATAAAGGAGAGATGCATATCTTCCCTTGTATCATGTTTCCCATTACTGATGCTCACCGATAATGTTGTCACATTTATCAAAGCTCTAAAGGGAATCGCATGCAAGAACAGCTCTGCTATATTTAAGAAGAACATTCCTTTCTAGTCTGTGACCAATTTTCCATGTGATTACTTTTTAATTGTTTTTTAATTGCTGGTGCTTGGTTTTAATTATCCAACACTGGTTTGAGTCTCAAAGCTGGAATAAAAATCCATTATGTATGTTTCAGCGTTTACAGAAAAACTGATATAATGTGAGCATAAAGAGAGGTCTAGAAAGAGTTGTTTGGGGCGAATGTTATCAACCCACATGAATAAATAATATCCATGAAAACGATGATTACAATATATATTCCAAACCAGAAATAAAACATTGATAGAGCTGTGCTATATCCACTAACTGTAATTAGATTGGAATAGATGCCATGTGAGGTTATTATGAATATTGTAATATTATGGTGCAGCTTGTTGAGAAAAGGTCCTTTTAGTAGCTGTTCTGATCACTTCACACGATATTCCTCAGAGTTTACCCTCCAGGCATATCAAATAGTTTGACATATTTGGAAATTAACATTTTTGTCATTCAATCCACCAAGCCAGCGATTAGTAGACATCTCACATTACCTGCTGAGCTGACAAATAATTATCCAAAGACTAGCAGGCGTCATGACCTTTTTCTTTTTCCTACAGCTCACTGTCTCGCTAATATCACTAATACAGGACACATGCATTCATCATAAACATACCTCTCATTCCAACCCAATGCACAAATCTACACAACATTAATTATACAAAGCGTAATGAAGACCTTATGGCTCATTAAAGGACGGCAAAATGTATCCAGTGTATGCTTGAGAACTGGCAGCAATGCGAGGGTGTGAATGGGATTAATTGTTGTTCAGTAATCTAATGAAAGAATTCAACTTTGGTTTGAGCCTTGGTGGTTAATTAATGTTCATTAACCTCCATCGTGTGTGTGTGCGTGTGCACGTGTGTGTGTGTGTGTTACTTTGCAAACACAGTCCCACTGCCTCCGGGGAAGGTGTATGGATGTTGTTTTCTGAAGACGTGCCCAACTCTGCTGCAGGGGATGATCTCAAGACTTCCACCACACTGCCACACCCGAAATGAGATCTCTGAAACACACACACACACACACACGTCAAAACACACGCACGTCAAACATGTGTTCCAACCAACTGTTTCCAGGTTATTTTAATGAACAGCATGTAAGCAGCGTTGTGGTGTTGTCTGCACCTCATTAATGTTTGCAGAGTGTTGACTTTGTCAGATTCCCGCTCGAACATTGTCTGTGTCTGATTAAATGTTCTCTGACCGTGATCTCAAGGAAACCAGAATCTGAATTCTCAAAGCCGCTCTGAATCATTGTGCCGTCTCGAGAGAAGAATGAATCACTTTTCCCAACTGAATTCAGACAAAGGCCACGGGGAGATGCAGTTGTTGTTATCTCATTGTAATGGCTACAAATTATCTCCATTGTGCGCACTATGGTTATTTCTCTCAATACTTAATACAATCATTATCACATTGACACAATTTCTAAGATTCACTGCAGTCTGAAATTACCTTCAAATTAAAAAAGGATTTTCTGTGCTCTTTATCACGTTCTTAGTATGCAAACCCAAGATACGCTCATGTAGCGAGACATATCTATGAAGCTACTTTAGTACCAAATCCCAAGAGACAGAAGGGCAAAAGAGAGCAGAAATGTTGTCTTTCAACCGAAAAGTGTATAATTTACAATGAACAGAACATTTGAGGAACTATGGTTTGACTTTAAAATGTTAACTGACTGTTTTTAAAGCACAAAACTGACAGGCCCGTTTTTCTAGCCCCCAATTCTCTATGAGCTGCAACGCTGCAGATTCATATTAGCTTACAGACATGTGATCTCTGGTAAGTAATTACTACATTTCCCAAAAATGTCAAACTATTTACTGCTTCTGGCAAAACTCCTGACGTGTCTGTCATCACCAGAGGCGGAAAGTCAGGGAGCGAGACAGTCATCAACAACACATTACAACAGAGAAGTACATTCATGCTAAACACTGACCGTGATAGTTTTCTTGCTCTACCTGCCACTTTTAATTACACTCCATTATGTGTTTTTGCTCCTTTCATTCACCTAGTAATATTTTATTTATTTAATATGTTTTATTCTTAATGTTTTTGATTGTTATGTGTGTACCTGCCCACGGACTGCATATGGGAATGACATTTTAGCCATAATCTGGCATATAGCATCTTCTATTTTGGAGATAAATGCATTTTCATACATGGTTATATATCATATAACCTATATTTTCCGTCACTCTAAAATTCATTACAGAATCATACATTAGATTTCCTAATCACCATTGTCTGTGATTCTACAGTCTACACGCTCCACTGTGTACTGAATTTACATTTGCACTTTAGCCACACTCACCGAGGTTTTCTCCTCCCCATACGTCCATCATCATGTCGTACTTTCCCAGCAGCTCAAAGTAGTCCTTATCCATGACGAAAAGACCTCCTGCTATCATTGGAGTCCTGCAGGGCAGAGGGCAGGAGGATGGAGAAAAGAGATTAGAAGTGGGGCGGAAGCTGGCAGACAAAGTGAGTCTGCTGTTTAAACCCCTCGATGTCTGTGTGATAGTGTCCATCTTACTTTATGGGGGCAATGGGGTTGCCTTGTCTGGCTCGTCTCTGCTCCAGAGTCATGTAGTCCCATTTAAACACCAAATTCCAGTCGAAACCTGCCGACATAAACACACACACACACACACACACACACAGAGGGCAAAAGGACAACACTATTATTTGAGATAAAGTAGCACACAGCTGGTTATATAAATAGATCTGGCAGGTTCAGGTCAGTTGACTGGATACAGCAGCAGTTGCCTGATATCACATGTCTGTACTGTATGTGTTCATGTGTCAGCACAGAGAGAGAAACCTCTTAAACTCGACAATGTATAGTTTTGTCCTGATTTTGAACTATATACTATTATAGGAAGCACATGGTTCTGACAAACAACCACAACATTGACACATGCTAAACATTAACATTACTAGCAACCAAATTAAAGTGGCCGTAAAAATTACGTATTTCTCAAAATATATAGGTATCGACATTTTTACACATTTAAATGTGGATTTTAAATATCTTTCCACCAACTCTACCAACATAAATATATTACATACTCAGATTCCAGTATGCAGTGTGGAAAACACAGTTTATTTCCAGGAGGAGTTAAATTAAACATGCTGGGTGTATAATTAGCGGAAGTGTTTGTTGTGTGTGTGTGAGACAGTCTCAAAACTGTTTATGAAGAAGCACACAGGATGCCAAGACCTCAACAGGTAGTGATGCTGCTAGTACCAAACAACAAGGGACATCACGTGTGTGTGTGTGTGTGTGTGTGTGTGTGTGTGTGTGTGTGTGTGTGTGTGTGTGTGTGTGTGTGTGTGTGTGTGTGTGTGTGTGTGTGTGTGTGTGTGTGTGTGTGTGTGTGTGTGTGTGTGTGTGTGTGTGTGTGTGTGTGTGTGTGTGTGTGTGTGTGTGTGTGTGTGTGTGTGTACCGTACCTCCTTTCAGATCAGCCGAGGCTCCTACGTACTGGAAGTTGTCCATGTTGATGACATCGATGATAGGAGAAACGACTCTGCTTTTGTCCTGAGAAGGAAGTATGAAGAAAAATAAATCCGTGAAACTTTTTCAGCTCTGAACAAACTTACAATGAGAATGACAGGAAATGTGTTTTGTTAATAAATAAATAAAGTCCAAGTCTACCAGGTTTTGTGTAGTTCAAAAGTAAATATGACTCGTATGTTTGTTTTTTCTTTCTATATTTAGTTTAACTGCAAGGAGAGCAGCTCTGTCTTCTCGACTTTAGATCACTCCCACATCATACAGGAGTTTAGAGAAAAGAGGGTTTCTCAAGTGGCCAAAATGACAATTCCCAGAAACAAGCCTCAAGGTGCAGAGAGTTTATTTATTTTGTGTTAAAACCTTTTGATATGACACATGAGGCTTCACCCACACAGATGGCATTCTTCCCTTTTTATTTCGAGTTATTCATCATTTAGAAGTGCAACTAAAGCAAAGATAAGCAAAGTCAATTACTTTGACAGCAAACTGTTTTTGATTTGGCTCCACGCGTTTATTAACTAGGGAACGACAAAACACAGCGTTTGGGAGGATCAAACGCAGATCAGACTTTATTCAGTCATATCAGATAAATATTTAAACAACCTCCGTATTACCCACAGAGTCCCACTTCAGACTGAGATTACTATTCATCAAGAAACTCTGAAGTCATTACTAAAAGACTTCAATTAAATAGCAGCACACGGTTCATCTGTAATTGAGTTAAGGTTTATTCTGTTCGAGGATGTTTATTGTAGGGTTCTTTTTCATAATCAAATAAACATGGTGGAAAACTGTATTGAGTCTTGAAATAAAACACAACTATCAACGTCTATTATCGAGATGATAAGAGATAATGATATTCTGCCAATTTACAGAGGGATCACATTCTGAAAAGGATTACTCTTTTTTTTCTTTTCCAGAATAAACCAAGTAAAGATTTGATTTACCGTCTCACTGGCTTATATACTTTTTGACTTCAGCATGACATTTTAATCTAAACTGAATAAACATGTCAGATCAGAAAAAAGTGATTTTTCTTTTGCTGTGAGATGGTAGTTTTACTCTGAGAGAGTCCAAACATTCCTGTGTTATTGAAGTCATGCGCTCCTTGTTTTTCACATGAATGTTAACAAGACACTGACTGACTGACGGCTGCAGGATGCTGCTGATCTCTGACCTCTGTGTGAAAAAGCTAATTCCCCTACAAATATGAATACAACTGAGCCCCTAGAGTCCCATAGGGTCATATTTGTGTTATCTTGCAGAACAAGTTAATTAATGTGTGCAGAAGATAAAATGATATCACCTGACAGGACTTGGGGGCTTCGTAGGATAACATTATCAACATCAGTTCTGAGCACTGAGATACAGCACATAATTCAAACTGAGTGATTTTGATTTGTTGGGTTGGTGTTTTTTTTTTTGTTAGGCCAAATTATTTGATTTAGTTTGATTGTTGCAATCAAAGAAAAGTTCACTGACCCTGTTGATTAAGAAGAATTCATGCTTTTTGATGCTTTACTCGAATATATAAGTTGAGGACTAATGTATTTTATCCTCACTTTCACTTTTGAATGATGCCTGGCGAGCATGTTTAGAGAAAGAAGGATGCTTGATTGCGAGGATGCGTGTGGACTGTAACGACTCATAGTACCTCACTGTTTCACCTTTGAAATATACCAATATTTAAGTGTCTTTCTTGGCAAAACAAAACACATCTATTGTCTGTCGTCTATTGTCCCATCATTGTTTTTTTTTAACTGGATTAAGTAATCTTTTACTTTGTTTATATGAACGATAATAAACTTAATTCATGTATAAAGGAGGGTCCATGGATGTGTGTGTGTGTGTGTGTGTGTGTGTGTGTGTCATCAGGACAGCAGAAAGCCTACACATTTTCCGGCGCAGACTGAAAACTCATCTCTTTCGACTCCACTTCGAGCGATAGAATTACTAATAAAGAATTACTAACAAAGCACTTATATACTAATAAAGCACTTATATACTAACAAAGCACTTATATACTAACAAAGCACTTATATACTAACAAAGGACTGGCTTATCTAAAGCCAGTTGAGTAGCACTTGAAATGTTTTGGCTCTATGAAACCTGATGTACTTATATGATTCTGCTTTCTTCAAGTTTGTATCTTCCTGGTCGAATGCACTTATTGTAAGTCGCTTTGGATAAAAGCGTCTGCTAAATGCAATGTAGTGTGTGTGTGTGTGTGTGTGTGTGTGTGTGTGTGTGTGTGTGTATGTGTGCGTGTGCGTATGTGTATGTGTATGTGTATGTGTATGTGTGCGTGTGTGTGTGTGTGTGTGTGTGTGTGTGTGTGTGTGTGTGTGTGTGTGTGTGTGTGTGTGTGTGTGTGTACCTCGGCCACTCTCTCCAGCAGCGGCTCCAGCCAGTGGTCGTTACATTCACAGTGAGAGTCTAAGAAGGTGAGGACTGGAGCCACGGCGGCGTCTGCTCCGCGGACCCTCGAACGCATCAGTCCTGAGGGAAACACCAGTCAATAAAAACACATTTAGAATGATTTCAACCCCACCGATAAACACAAGGTGGAGCCTCATTAGTTAATGTTTCTTGTAATGAAATAAAACATTCATTTATTCTCTTCACTACCTTCTCTGCGGTCGTTTCTCAACACGCGTATTTTTTCGATTTTCCCCAGAAGCGCTCCATCCTCCGCTAAAACACACACAGAGCAGACATTGCATTTATTTCACCTTTCAGCAGCTAGAACTCCATTATTTATGTATAATTGCTGACTTAACAGTACAGTCATTTTGTGCAATAATTATTTTACTGTGCAATAATCTGGTTGACTTTAGCACTAATACAGCATCTCAATTTTATTCTTGTTTTGACTATTCTTTAATATTTTAACACACTTAATCATAGATCCCATTTCGACTTTCATTAGTACGTACACTGTTGCTATATATTGTTGTATACTTTAAAAATATTTTTTAACTACATATAATGTAAGTTATATATTTTTTAGAACCACATTACTTATAATTGTATATTGTATTATAATGCACATCCTTTAATAATATTCATTTACATTTTTTTTAAAGATTCTTTATATTTATACACATCTATAATCTTGAATGGTAACTGTAACGTAAACCTTTTTCAACCTCAGGGATCAATAAAGTATTTCTGTTTCTAACATTGATCTCACTGGGTTTGTTTGTGTAATCTGTCTGTGTGCGTAACTCACGGTTATCACTGTAGTCGTCAACCAGAATGATTTCTTTGACCAAGTGAACAGGACTTTTCTTCAGGACACTAATCAGAGAAGGAGGGGGAGTTTATATTTAGATAAAATATGTATTAAGATAGAAAAAACTTGGGACACACACACAAATCATCACCTACCTGACCACAGTCCTCAGCAGAGCAGAGCGAGCTTCATTGTGGAAAGTGATGACGACGCTAGAGGCGGGCAGTTCAGTCTTCCATTGTTTATGTCTGCAACTACACACACGCACACAAAAAAAACATCAAAATGTGTTTAAAAAGATGGACATCGAACAGCATAATTGCCAACATGTGTACAAATGTACACATGAACTCCTACGCACATGGAGCACACAGCTGAATGTGTGAACAAAGCTGGGAGCTGGAACCGCTCCTAAACACATTCTGAATACATAACACAATAAATAGGATTCAGTACCCACCCAATTCCCATGAGTGTGTGTGTGTGTGTGTGTGTGTGTGTGTGTGTGTGTGTGTGTGTGTGTGTGTGTGTGTGTGTGTGTGTGTGTGTGTGTGTGAGGATGAGAGGATGCTACATGAGACAAAGAGCCACGTGGAGGACAAAGAAATCACGATGTCTTGTCCTTGTAAATATATAAACGTCACACAGGCAGATCTCTGGGTGCAGAGAAAGAATCCAGTTCTAGAAAATGAACCTTCAGCTTCAATTAAAGAAACTAAGAAAGGTTGGCCTTGGAGGCTGAAACATAAACCAGATGTACGGACTGTATAGCACATAGGTACAGTACATATAGAACGACAGTACACATTGGTATTGAAAGTCTGTGAGCATGGTGTGTACGGTTCTTTAGTCCCTGTATCTATTGATGGATTATTGAGTGTTGCAGGCCGCCCCCCCCCACATTCACCTACAAAATGTCAATCAAAGAGACACACAAAAAGCAGGAGGAGGCCTAAAATGACCGAGAAAGACATTTAAATATCTACAAAAAGACTCACAACGACTACAAGTGGATGCAGTGCAGCTGCTAGAAGACCAGAGAAAGGCTAACAACGACTAGGCAAAGAGGTTGAATTATTACAGATAGACACAAAATAACCACCAAGAGGCACAGAATGACTACAAAGACACACTATGCCGCGTTTCCACTACACGGCCTCGCTCGGTATGGCTGGGCCTCGTTAGGACTGGCTCACTTTATGGCGCATTTCCATTACAGTTTAGGAACTGGGGCAGTATCTATAGTAACGCAGTGTAGGCGGAGCCGTGACGTGATCTTCAGAGGACCCCAGAAAAACAACACAGCCGTTAGCTGTTAGCACTCAGAGCTCACAACTCCTCATATATGTTCAGAAACTAGACAAAAGTTAAACAAGTACAAACCACAGACTGCCTGTGTCATGGTGAATACAGTCGCTGCTTTATTTATGTCTGTATAGGCCGTTGTTGTGAGTGTGGACGGTCGGAGGATATACTGCGTTAGCTTAGCCAATCTCCATTTAGAAAACAAGCATTTTAAAAGGTTGTTCGCCTGCCGTCTGTCTGCAGACTTGACAAAGCATTAATTCATGGTTTTTACTAACCGGTATCAGTATGTTGTTACTTCGGCATCATTTTGAAACGTGTATTACAATTAAATCACGGTCAAATATGTCCATCTTGTTGTAGTTGTTGCCCCCTTGCCAGCGACGCTCTCTCTAGTTTAGCATACTCAGCCCGACTCAGCCTCGTTGTCTCTGGCCCTAGACCCACGATTTTATGAGGCCAGAAAAACTGTGAATTAGGACCCGCCGGCCGGTACTAGGCCAAGTGGAAACGCAACCAAAGACGGGCCGCTGACGTCACAGCCCTCTTAAACCGGGCTGCGCCTACCAAAAAGACAGCCAAACTGACTACAAACAAACACAAAACATAAATAAAAAGGGGCAGAACAACCACAGAGCAAAATTAAGTATAGAAAGATCAAAGTAACACACTGTTACCCAAAACAATGAGAAATAGAAACAAAATGATTTAAAAGAGATGCAAAAAAAGCACTGATGAGGCAGCCCGGGCCTGAAAACAATAGGCTGTTTTTGTTCTGGAGAACATTCAACAATCAGTGCTGCTGCGTGCTGTGCAAGGGACACATCAGTGCCAGATCAATATGAGACACGTCCGGATCTTTTAGTAGGCTAATGGGTCTAGTCGTCTGATTTGGCTCAATATATCAGTGAGACAACTTTATAAAAATAGACTTTATATCACACAGTGTGCATCGAGATAGATCTGCAGGAATTAAACCAGTGACTGAAAATGATGTCATATTGTAACGAGCAACGTGTTGTATGTTCACTTATTGTGTTCAACATTGAGCACTACAACACTAGGTTTTCTGCTCCATTCAAGGTCAAATATTAGTAAAAATATAGTTTCTTGCATCAGGGCATATTGTGATCAGCATTTATGCGTTCAATAATTTAATAAACAAACACATTTAAGTTGAAAAATAGCCTTGGTTCTGAATTATTAATGTTTTTTCTCCCTTTAGAGCAGGTTCAAGGTTCAAGGTTCTTTATTAGTCATACAACCATAGCTACAGAGTAGTTATGTCGATGAAATTCTTAAGTCACAGGCTTCTCCAACAGTGCAACACAATATTACAGAAAAACAGAAAAATATAGTGCAAGTAAATATTAAAAGTAACTGCAAAAAGAAAGGAATAGTGAAATAAGAGTCTATATGCAAGCTATTTGAATGATATATTAGGTTGAGGCAAAGCCAGAAAACAAAAGCCCGGCCGAGTATGGCCGTTGGCAATTTGGCAGACATAAGAATGAAGCCAACTTAAACACAATAAAGTTTTAATGAAGTGATCCTATACATATGGCTCTATGGGTTATTTCTGTCTCGTGGTTGGTTTAACAAGCAGAACAATCAACAGCGGTTTCCGGAGGTTTGTGTTATGAATGGAGCAGACATTACGGGTCTGATCTGCATCTACTTCCTGATATCGTCTGATACAACACAATAGAGGGAGTTTCCAAGAGACCTTCCAGTCTGGTACTAATTAGTCAAAGAGACAGACAGCAAAGGATAGCATATACACACAAGATCAGATGTATGGTTGACCGGTGATTTTGCATGATTTTACAAAATACATAAAAGATAAATAACTGCCAGTAATGTGGATTTATTCTGGGTAAAGACACTTTTTTTTTAAATCTGGTAAATTTACGAAAAGCACATCACTCACACATTACTGTAATGCAGCCTTTCAAATCAGTAAAATATATTTTGATATCCAAAATATGAGACGATATCTAGTCTCGTATCACAATATCAAATGAACATGAATATATTTCCCAGCCCTGACAGAGAGAGAGAGACAGTTTGTGTAAGGGTAGAGATACGTACTGGTCATGTCTGGTGTCGGGCACGGCTCTGTCCATACGGAGTTTGTCGCTCTCCACCTGGTTGAACTTGTTCCTGGCGTACGGATCCTGACCCGCTCGCACCACTGTGGCTCCAACGTACAGATCCTGGTCAAAGTCCTGCCAGCGCACCTTACCTGGAAACACACACACATAAACATTAGGCACACTGAATACATGATCTAGTATTAATACATGTCTAAAGAAGTTGGAGCAATTGTTGTCTTGTTTGTGTTCTTCTTCACATTTGAGGTTTAACTAAGATGGAGAGTGGAATGATTAAAGGGCCCATGTCATGCTTTTCCGGTTATTACCCGTCCCCTTGTGTGTTATGAAGGTTTTACTGCATGTAAACGGTGTGCAGAGTCACAAATCCTCAAAGTACACCCTGTAGCGAGTAAAACTCTAACACAGAAAAGACCTGTCTATGCTGCCCCAGAACGCCTCGTTGGAGATTTCTCTTTTTCCATTTGTTTCGTCCGGGAACCGCATGACGTCATGCCAAAATGGACCAATCCGCGGAGCTCCTCACACATCAGGACCTTTAGCGTACATTTTCCACTAACAGGGAGTCCCATTGACTTGCATTGAGCTCCCTGGTTGGTAATAGACGAGTTGGGATCGCGGAGAAATGCTCTCCGCAGACCCATTCTCACAGCGTTTATAAACCTTTTTCTTACTCAATATCAAGCCACACTTATTGTTTTTACTTCGGCTGTGAGTGTTTGTGTGTGCTCAGGATGAGTTTCGCGCTGTCTCGCTGTAGCGCCGACCCGGAAACCACACCAGTAAGCCAGATCATTGAGCAGCGAGCCTCGCAACGTCCCGACCAATCAGAGCACACTGGGCTCATAGGGAGGGGGGGGGGGGGCGGAGCTCCAACAAGCCGTTTAGGACAGAGAGTGAATACACATACTATACAGAGATGCTGTATGAGAAACCAATGTGAGTTTGGAAAATTGCACAATATAAATGTATTCTAGTATACCTCAACAATGGAATTATGATCAGTAGACATGGCCATGACATGGGACCTTTAAAAAATGGTAAAGAAAATTCCAGATAATTCAAAGACAAATCCAGCACAAGATGGATTTTGGGAAAAACTGACAGGTTACAGGATTGATGTATACATTTTAATCATGAATTAATATAAAGGCTGTTGTGAATAAAGAACAAATAGGGTTTTTCGGGCAACTAGTGTCTTTATTATAGTGACGGTGATAAAAGGGGAAGACAGGGGGAATGACACTCTGTTATTGAAACGTTGAGAACCACATGCAAACACATTCACAATGCAACTCTTTGGTAAATACACATTACATAAGCAGAGCGTATCCACAAATAAAAGCTGCCACAAAACATGAAGTGTTAACCTTCACAAAAGGCAAAAAATGTGTCTCAGGAATAATTGGGATTATACATCAGACGGAATATGAAGTGTAGGCAGCAGCCCGCCTGGTGAATGAATCCTTCTCGACTGACAGGAAGGAAACCTCGCCGCTTCAAGCTGCTGCCTGACAGGCGGCAGCACGGCAGTGAGCAAAGCTGACATGAGACTTGTGATGCTTATATGAGAAGCTGTGCAGCTTTCAGAAGACAAGGCCAGAACTGCTGTGGCAAAGCTAGAAAATACCAAATGTATTATGCACTGCACTAATTAAATCCTAGTGAATTAAGTAATATACTGAGGCCTAAAAATAAAAGTTTGGAAAACATCTTTACCCCCTTACACACATCCAAACGGAGCACATTGTGTCTGACCAGATTAAGAAGATCATTGCACGCCAAACAGAGAAAGTTCTCATGTTTAATTTCACAGTTCATCTCCGACTACTGAGACACAGACACACACGAATAATAATGCAACTACTTAGCCGGGTGCAGCTGCTATGCTAATGACTTGTGTTTAGCATATGGCAGCGTGAGATTACACTACCCCTCAGTATGGATGCCTGTGTGTATGACAGACAGACAGACAGGCAGACAGGCAGACAGACAGTGGGACCTGGAGCCTGACGAGCAGGAGTGTGTGTGCATGCGTCTCTGCTGACAGCATGTGAATGTGTCTGGCATGTTAATTAGCTGAAAATCACAATGCTGATTCGCCTGCGACTGTCAGCGGCGCCTCGGAGACACTGCGGTACGCGAGTGTGAGATGTCCTTGCTGATATCTCTGTTTAGTGGCAGCAAGTAATTAATGTAGTGAAATTAATGTTTCAACTTCTCACTTTGTGAGTATTTAAATTAGGCTTCCAAAGTCTTTATCACACACTTGTTCAAGCCTTCTTTTCTTTGTTTGCTAAACCAAAGAAAGCAGATGAACTGTTCGATTTCTCAGTGAGATTAATACATATCGATTTTCAAATACTCTCTTAAGCAGGTTCAGGTATCCACACCCAGCTGGTGGTTTGATTTTGTGTTTTTGTATCAGAGAAAGGAGTAGTCAGTTTAAATTTAAATAGTTTATAGTCTGATCACCAAAATCTTCCATCCTCAGCAGGCTACTCAATTACTGTACTTGGGTACAATTTAAGGTACCACCTTACTTCCATTTTTATGCTACTTTATAGTTTGCTTCTGTACATGTCGGAGGCAAATACAGTAGCCTCCTGTTCACTTCACGGTATGTGTTTATGAAATAAATTACTTGCATATTCAGATTATTCACACAAAATCAAATCAACAAATACATTATGATATATTGTTATATGTTTCTATTATTTTAAACTAAATATCTTTGCTTGCTTCATATCTCCTCCCCTCTCTCTGATAAGATTTGACTTGGTACATTGCTAAGTATAAATGTTTTAGAATGAAGATTTGAGGATAATTGTTTTTATTAGGTGCCACAATTGAATTGTTTAAAGCAGACGTATACTTATTCTGGGGACTATATTCATTTGGTTTATTCGCTTTTACAGTCTCCTACTTCTTCATTTATTTTATACTTCTTTCCTTCTTCTCGTCTTAAGTGTGTATGTGCGTTGTGAGGGATGCTGCGATTCGCTGCCTGGTGTCGTTGTAATCGAGTCACCCTGAAGTTAAAATGCTTCCACTTCAACATTCAAATTGGATTCCATTTCCACCGCTGGATCAGATAAGAGAGTGTGTGTTCAGCTTTCACAAGTCAGAGGGTTGTGAGGGAGGGGCGGCTTTGAGTCTGGGCACGGACGAGAGCTGAATGACAAATCGACGCTCAGATGCTGCGACTGTCGGACTCTGGAACAATGTTTCTCAAAGCCTGGGTGGAGACGCGTAGCTGGGTTTGAGGCGAGATTAAAGTAGATACTTCAATTATTTTCAATAGCTGAATTGAATGTTGAATTGTCTTCTTGTTCCCAGTGGTTATTTAAACATGGTAAGCCACTATGTCACCACATTTCAAAAAGGAAATGGTTTGGGTTGAGGGGACATGATGTGTCTTTCTGGATACATAACTGTGGTGTACAGTGTCAGCCAAGCACATGCTTTACAGCTGGGATGTATTTGTCCTTTTCCTTTACTATAATCATGAGCAGAAACAATGACACACTGAAATCTCTCCAGATCCTGAAGCACATATTTGTCAGACATCCTGGTTATAGATATGATAAAAGAATATATACTTAAGACCTTTTTGGCTATAACAGAAATATACATTAGCTTGTTTAGGCATTGTGTGGTTGCAGTGCATGATGAAGTTTCGTACCTGGCGGCAGAGTTTCCAGGCCGTTAGTCTTGTCGTCAGAGATGTGAGCTTTGCTCTTACTCGACGAGTCACTGGAGCCCCATTCATCCTGAAAACAAACACACAGATTAGCCCGGATACACACCATTTAGTCTGATAATAAATAAACATTCAGCAGGTGAGAGGCACATGATCCAGAACACACAGACATCTGTTTTTTTAGGATCATGTGGTGCTGTTTGCTGAAGATTACCACGCTATAAGAAAACCAACTCGATGTAAACCAGTTTTTTCTTTTTAAGATGATTCCTCGTTGTTTCACTTCATTATAAATCAAAACCATGTGAGACCAGAGCTCAGCTGAGTCCACTCGAGTTAAATCCATTTAGGCAACAGGATCAAGTTGAACATCAAAAGCGTCTTCTGGCGAAGCACTGAATGATAAATCAATTCATTCATTACATTACATTATTAAATTACATGTCACTTGTTAGACGCTTTTATCCAAAGCGACTTACATACATTCGGTACTGTGGACAATCCCCACAGGAACAATTTGGGGTGAAGTGTCTTGCCCAGGGACACAACGACATGCTGACTGCAGTGGGACTCGAACTTGCTATCCCCTGATTCGAAGTCCAGCACACTAACCACTGAGCCACAGCCTCCATTTTCACATTCATGTTTCATCCACTCATTGAGTCATCCACAGCCAGATAATCAGACTGAACTGATTTGTTGAGTGTGTGCAGTGGTTTGATATAAGCAAAGTAAGGCGGGGTGATCAAATATCTCAATTATTTGATCAACTACATTGATGATATTGTAGGGTGGACCATTGATGTTTTCAGAAATGTTTTCCATTATGTGATTTTCTTTAAAAAATCATAATCCTTAATCAGCATTACTGTGGATATAATGACTAATGGGGGAACAGCAAATCAAACAGCAGCCTTTAAAATCAGGAATAGACAACACTTATTACCATATCCTAAACATGATCAAATATCTTATCACTCGTCTCAAATCAGAATCAAGCGATTGCCAGGTAAGATTACACATTAGACACATTTTATATTTACCACGAAAACTATTGTAATGTTTACAGGAAATATAAATATACAGGAAAAAAGGAAATATGTAAAGAATATGACAAATTACTGTAAAGAAATGTGCAGTGAATCGTATATCACAACATTTATATTAAATGCATATATTGCCCAGGCTTTTGGCAAAGTCATCCATTCATTCAGCCACTCTTTTATCTCCTCTTTTCATTTCCTCCCTTTCATTAATCAGGTCATTCATTCATCCAGTCCACCGGTGCATTTAGAAACACACTTCAAGCATTCAGCGTCTCCAAATGGACCGATGACACACCCCTCCGTGTGTCCATTAAGAGCCACTGGATCGATACACAGAGTCACAGTGATTAGCGCCGCTCATTCTCTGTCCTGTTCGTCGCCCTTCACTTCAGAAAACTATTTTCCAACCTTATTATTTGCTCTGCAGTTACCTTTCACCTTCAGCCTCTCCTCAATGCTCCATTGATCTGTTTTCTTTCAGGACAGCCAATGTCAGGGTGACTTCAGAGACTACCACAAACAGTGTTCATCAGTTTAACTATACAGAGAGAAGCGTTGACAAGTAGAAAAGAGATTTTCACATTATTTAAATCATGCTTTTTAGGCCTTTACATTTATCTACAGTGAATAGCGTGTCAATCCTACTCTGAAACTATACCCATTTGAAACTGAAACACCCACAACCTCTATAAAAATATAACCTACATTAAATCAATTTCTTTATGTTTATGACAGCTTCAGGGTATATGCAGGAATCCTGAAGTCAAATGTAATACCTTAGTTTTAAGACCTTTTTTTAAGACCCTTTCCATACATTTTAAGACCTCATCGCCACTTGGAGTTTTAACCGGTTACATTGGCGACACACTTTACCTCACAGTTACTATATACAGTATTGATTGTCCTTCCTCCTTATCTTCCAACCATTTGGACGCAGACTTGCATTTCCCCATAACGATGTTGTTTAACAACCGGCGTAAACGGACCTTCGCACGCTATCAAGCAGTGAGCGTGTGATGTCCTGTTCAGATGACGTCAAATCCAACGGGATGCCATAAATAAACTACACAGAATCACACTACACACCTACGCAATGATTACATTCAGGCAAACTGTAGAATACAACCTCTTTGGACAATTTCCATACTTATTGAAAACAAGTTACAAAATGTAATACCTTGGAAAATACTTTTTAATACTTTTTAATAGCCTTAATTTTCGCTAAATTGATTTATCAACTTTGAATCCTTTTGAAGACCCCGCGGACACCCTGAGCTGAGTGCGTGAACAGTCAGATGGTAATACTCAGTGTAGGAAGAGGGCTGGCAGTATACCTGATGCAGAATCACAGTTTGACAGGCTCTGAGGGGAAAACAGGACACGTTTTCAAGTGAAACAAAGCTCCAAATTGGCTTCAGACTTTTGCTACGGGGGCTGCTTTGTCTCTCTGACACTTTATGTTCAACTCCTCAAACTGAAAGGTTTCATGGGCTTCTTTTTTGAGCTGGTGATAAAAAAAGGTTCACCTTTACTGCTGATCAGATGGAGATTATAAACCAGAAGAAACCTTTTTGCCCTTCAATCTTCACTGCTCTAGACTGTCACTTACCGTGAAGCAAGTATACTGACATTTAAATGCGCTGACAACTTTGGAGAAAGAAATACATTTTGCAGGTTGGAAGTATATCACTAACACAATTTGAAGACCCTTTTAAGCAGCTAATGAGCATGAGTATCCATCAAGTTGATTACATCCGTCATGTCTTTAATCTTTTCTGAGCCTCATTAAGCTTCCCCTGTTTCTTATCATGCATGTCTGCCTCACGATCACGATCCACAGTTCAGTTCTTCCGTTCGATACTTTAATAGTTGTATCTTGAATCAGTGTAAGTCTGTGTTTCATGAGAAAAGACCTTCAGAGTATACATCTCATGTGCAGATTCATATGCAAAGGAGTCCTTGGCAAGTTCACAAAGACAACAGGTCTGTTCCTTAATGCATGCACTTTCACTTTCCAAAAGCACTTTATAAAACCAGGACTGCTGAAGAACATAGCCGTAAAATTATATTGGTTTCATTTCTGCTTTTACAATGAGGCAAATGTATTACATATGAAATGGCGCAATATGAAATGGCGCAATATTATATGGCGCAGTCCTTAACTCAGTGTTGCAAAAGTGGCATTGCTTAACAGACCTTTCCTTAAAATCCTATAAATAAAGCACATGTGGAAGTTATAACGTTACCAACTGCCCATGTAGGTGTGTCAGTGTGTCATGGAACCAGCACAAACAGCACTGGTGATACTGATGACATTAACAATGGCTCCGTTTCATTCAAGTTTCCCACACTGACTACGTTCACACTAATATTACACTTTTATTGTAATATGCAAATATTCCAAATTAGAAAAATGTAAACAGCTGTTATGTAAACAGCATCTTCCGAATTAGGCCTAATTCCATAGCAATATTTTGTGATTGAGACATGTGGGATATGCCAATATTATTCAGGCTATTATGAGCATTTTAACATGAGGGCTACAAGGTGCATTGGGAATCTGTGTCTCATGGGGGATCATACCATCGTTTGTGACTCAGCGATGTGTGTTATAGTACCACATGTTATTAAATATGTAACACAACCTGCTGACAGTCTACTGAAGGATCTTTGATAGGTAGATAGTTCAAGCAGCTGTTCTCTATTTACAATCAATTCACAAGAAGATTTAAATGAAAGACAGCTGGCTGAACAATCAGCTGTTGACCATCCACCAGGGACATTGTAGATAAATAAATAACTAGAAAATAAAACTTTAAAAATGTTTTATATTCTTTGTACATTATGTTGCATGTCTCCCATGCCTTTGCCAGGCTTGTGACCCCCCCCAACACACGTTTGAAGAGCCAGTGCTGGGATCAAATCAGCAATCACTTTATCCTACTCTTTTAACTGTAGTAATTCATCAATAGATAGTTTTGAGATAAAATGGGAACTAAACATTGTGGAAAGAGTCAAATGTGGTTAAAAAAAAATAATTAAAGTACACTTCTCAAGCTGCATCTGTGCTGCTCCCTTCCCATCTAATCCCCCTGCGATTTATGGGAATTGCAGTCCATCACAGATAGCACCGGGAAAGAAAGCATTGGGAGCTGATGAGAACAATGCTCTGTGCGTGATTGATCAACAAATGGTTGCTATAAATATGACTTCTCGCTGATTGAAACATCATTGAAGAGGGTAAGTATAGAGCAGATTTTTGGAGGGCTATTTTTATAACTCGCATGAATGGCTTTGAAAACCTCTTAGTGATAATGGCCCCAGCTTTTATCTGCCTGGCCGCCAAACACAAACAAGATTGATTAAAACTGTGCACACACAAAAGGACATCTAAACACGGGAGACATCAACCGAAAGACTACTGGCTCGATTTTCACAGAAATTGGTAAACGGGTGTATCAAGGGCAAAGGAAGAAGCCATTACATTTAGGAGCAGATCCAAATCCCTCATATCACTTTTGTTAACATTGCAATTGGTGCTGTATTCAATGTGTGGTGTGGCGGAAAAAATAGTTCTCGACTGAAAACAACAGAAACAGATATCAATGAGCGATAATGTACAACGAAGCCTCTTATTAGCATCCATCTTGTTCTCATATAACGACTACAGTCTCATAAACACACAGAAATCCTAAGAACAACTTCCCAACTCCAGATGGGATCATATGAGGGAATTATGACATGAATGCACAGGTCTGTTTCAGGCTGGTGTGGTCGAAGAGAGGATTGATACCACTCTCATGTCTGTACTGTAAATAGGAAGCTACAGCCAGCAGCTAGTTAGCTTAGCTTAGCTGCTCTGTATGTATACTTGTACTCCCCTCCTGCATCTTTTCTCTTCCTCCATGTGTCTGTCTTTTGTTCTTTCTGTCTGTCTTTCACACTTGATGTCCTCACTTTGTCTCTTTCTCTTGTGCTGCGTCACTTTGGCAGCAGTTTGCTTAGTCTGTCATTTGACAGATGG